TGCTTAACATTTCATTCTCTTCTTTTTTGTGTCTGTCAGTCCGTCTCTCAGTCTGTCTTTCTTGTAACAATGTCCATTTTTCCATAATTTTCTTTAAAAACATTTTTACTTGAGTATAATTTTGCTGCTGTTGTGTTTTTTCTTTTTTTTCATTTGGGCTCATTGCAAGTTTTGCTCCATTTACGTTTAATGTCATCTTGAAAAGCGATAGCTTAAATGTAACAACAGCTTTGTGGTTAAATTAAGGGGACACATACTCGGTATTTTGTTCTTTATTTTTTCGGCTTTTGTTTAAAAATTGTTTTCAGTTGTTTGTACCAATATATCAGGGGGTAGGCATTATGCGTGTGGTATAGGTGGTTGTATTATCTACACCAGTTGGACTCAATACCGCTTTATCAGTCTTTGAGATTTGATAAAAATCGGAATTTATCAGATTCTGTTAGGTATCCACGATCCGCGAACGAACGAACGAAGAACGAAGTAACGGTGAGAACGAAAAACTAAAACAAAAACGAATTAACAGAACGAACTGAACGAACGAACTAACAAATAGCGAACCACGAATACCGCAACGAACGAACGAACGAACTAATAACTAACGACGAAACAACGAACGAACGAACGAACGAACGAACGAACGAACGAACGAACGAACGAACTAACGAAGAACGAACGAACGAACGAACGAAGAACGAACGAAAAAACGAACGAAAACGAACGAACGAACGAACGAACGAACGAACGAACGAACGAACGAAACGAACGAACGAACGACAACGAACGAACGAACGAACTAACGAACGAACGAACGAACGAAACGAAACGAACGAACGAACGAACGAAACGAACGAACTAACGAACGAAGAACGAACGAACGAACGAACGAACGAACGAACGAACGAACGAACGAACGAACAAGAACGAACGAACGAACGAACGAACGAAAACGAACGAAAAAGAACGAACGAACGAACGAAACGAACGAACGAACGAACGAACGAACGAACGAACTAACGAAACGAACGAACGAACGAACGAACTAAACGAACGAACGAACTAACGAACGAAACGAACGAACTAACGAACGAACGAAACGAACGAACAACGAACGACAACGTAACCTAACTAACGAACTGAACTAACTAAACTAACTAACGACGAACTAACTAACTAACTAACTAACTACCTAACTACACTAACTCACTAACTACTAACTATCTAACTAACTAACTAACTAACTACTAACGATAACGAACTAACTAACTAACTAACTAACTAAACTACCTAACGTAACATACCATACATACATACTATAACAAAAGGTTTTGATGGCGGGGTCCTATATATTCGACATGGTCGGATATATATAACATTGCCTATACTTTAGTGTTAAATTTAATGTAGACGTGCGAATAAAATTGGATGATGAAGTGGAAAGGTAAAAAAGCAATACCGATTTGGTTGTTTTATTTATGAGAATATTTTAATGCAAAAAGGGTGAAAAAGGGAATGACGTTGTTAATATTCAGTATTGAGATTTTGGCCATAAATTATTGTTTACACAGTTGAACGATTTTTGGGAATTTTGTGAATTTTTTTCTGCTTTTTGTTTACACAACCAAATGGTAACAAACATAAGTCGTAAAATTTATAAATAGAATAATTTTTATAATTTTTAAAAACAAAATTCCTACAATATTTTTAATAACATTAACACATAATATTTCCTCATTCCACAAAAAACAAAAAAGTCCTTCGGGATTAAACAAAAACCTGACCTCGTCATCGAACTTATTTATGCTGTTATCACTATGACCACATAAACCATATTTTTATGTTGGCATATCTGTCCATATATTATGTTATCGTGTTATTGAACTTGTACAAAGTTGTAATAAATTCATGACATGATTAATAACAATAACAATAATAACTATGATAACGGCTATTAAATGTTTTGTACAACTAAGTATTTAATCAATTATATACAAGTAAAACGAAGCCAAAATCCGATTAGATCTGCAAACGATCCGAAAAAGATAACAATTGTTTAAATCGTTTTCTTTGCCTTATTCGTTTCACTTGAAGCAGTGTGACGTTAACTATTTAACTTTGATTAGTAAGAAATCTTCGAAACACAAGTATTAAATTATTTGAGTTAATATGACGTTTCTTATCATTAATAACACTAAATATACATATGTAGTTCGCTTAAATGTGTCCGCGATAAGTTTGCCATACATACTTACTTACATACATACAAATGTATATATGTATAAATTCACGAGTAGTTCTATCGAAAGTGTCTGCTCTTTACGATTATAAAAATGTAATGAAAAAACTTAAAGTTTGCTGATAAGTGTTATCTTAAATTAAGGTCGTATAACATTTAATTTTTCAAAATTTACACAAACCAATGCATTTACACTTAAGGAGAAGTTGGTAACATTTAAATTATAAAATTTTACTAATATTGTTATGTACATAAGCACATTTGTTGGGGGGAGAAATTGTTTACAAAAGATTACAGATAAACGGATGGGATTTTTGAAATAGTGGCGAATTGTATGAAAAGCTACGTGTGAAATTTCATGCCAATCATGTGTAATGTCATTAAAGTGTATAACAATATATTTTTTATGTTATCAAATAATTTTCTTCAGATTCTTTTGTCAAGAAAACTTTTGTTCAATGACAATTTTCTAAAGCAGGTCGTGAGTTTTATTCTCATTAGAGACAGTAGTGCTAGTTCAGTTCTAGTACATTTCTAGTTCAGTTCAGTTCAGTTTAGGTCTTGTTCATTTCTAGTTCAGTTCTAGTCAGTTCTAGTTCAGTTCTAGTTCAGTTCTAGTTCAGTTCTAGTTCAGTTCTAGTTCAGTTCTAGTTCAGTTCTAGTTCAGTTCTAGTTCAGTTCTAGTTCAGTTCTAGTTCAGTTCTAGTTCAGTTCTAGTTCAGTTCTAGTTCAGTTCTAGTTCAGTTCTAGTTCAGTTCTAGTTCAGTTCTAGTTCAGTTCTAGTTCAGTTCTAGTTCAGTTCTAGTTCAGTTCTAGTTCAGTTCTAGTTCTGTTCTAGTTCAGTTCTAGTTCAGTTCTAGTTCAGTTCTAGTTCAGTTCTAGTTCAGTTCAGTCTAGTTCAGTTCTAGTTCAGTTCTAGTTCAGTTCTAGTTCAGTTCTAGTTCAGTTCTAGTTCAGTTCTAGTTCAGTTCTAGTTCAGTTCTAGTTCAGTTCTAGTTTGTCAGTTCTAGTTCAGTTCTAGTTCAGTTCTAGTTCAGTTCTAGTTCAGTTCTAGTTCAGTTCTAGTTCTAGTTCAGTTCTAGTTCAGTTCTAGTTCAGTTCTAGTTCAGTTCTAGTTCAGTTCTAGTTCAGTTCTAGTTCAGTTCTAGTTCAGTTCTAGTTCAGTTCTAGTTCAGTTCTAGTTCAGTTCTAGTTCAGTTCTAGTTCAGTTCTAGTTCAGTTCTAGTTCAGTTCTAGTTCAGTTCTAGTTCAGTTCTAGTTCAGTTCTAGTTCAGTTCTAGTTCAGTTCTAGTTCAGTTCTAGTTCAGTTCTAGTTCAGTTCTAGTTCAGTTCTAGTTCAGTTCTAGTTCAGTTCTAGTTCAGTTCTAGTTCAGTTCTAGTTCAGTCAGTTCTAGTTCAGTTCTAGTTCAGTTCTAGTTCAGTTCTAGTTCAATTCTTACAGAAAATTATCGTTACCGAACATTTTTGTTATAGAATTTTTTATTGACATGGTTTCTGTAGAAACTATCTGTCAGAAATAAATATGAATTTTATAAAACCTCTGCTCTATGATGGAGCTCATCTCAGATTCACTTTCTAACTTGATTCGATATTAAAACTTTATTCAAAACTTGTTAAAAGTAAACATGTTTAAGAAAATAAAAACTACTGCAACGACTTTGCCTAATGAATTGTCACGTTCAATTTACGTAAATAAATTAATAAACCTGTTTGTCTTGTTTATTTAGCTTTAACAAACTACACATTTAGTTTTCATAATATTTATATTTAAAAAAAAAATTTTTTTTTGGTAATTTTAATTGTATGCATGATAGCAGTTAATGTTGAACGATTGAAGTGATCGGAAAGTTTTTTTTTCATTAGATGATGAATCATTTGTCTCGCATCTATAGAAATCTGCCGATATTAAATCATATGTTTTGCTTTGTTTTTATCTTGTTTCTATAGTAGTATCATAACTAAAGCTCATGATGTCTTTTTTTTTTTGCGCAAATTATATGATTTGTTTCTAATTGAAACTTAATCATATTAACGGGAGTCTGTTGTTGTTTATAGTGAATTAATTGATAAAGTCAAAAGTAAAGAAATTAATAGTTGTTTGGGTTTTAAGAGCGGTAATTACTAGATTTTGTTAGTGGTAAATAATCATAATCAATCGTATAGAGAGAAAGTGTTAATAAGCTCTTTGGATTCTCAGAATTGTTTAAAATTAATTTAGTGCTTAAGCGCTTTTTGAGTTTATATATGTATATATAAAGATCGTGTTTTATTATTTGTTTGCTATTTATTATTTTCAACGGCTTTTTTTAGTGTTTTTAAAATGGTGTAATTTTTATATGTTCTACACACCAACAGCAATTAAAACAAACCTTAATAAAGCTTTAAAAACGTAATTTTTGTTCAAAATTATTGTTTTATAAAACTTTATTAGCCTCAATTATAGTTGAGGAGTATTAGTTTTGTCAAATATTTGTTATTTTTTTTTTGAGAGAGCGCAACAGTTTAATTTAAGAGAATGTGGTTTCAAAATTCATTATTAGCTCTATTTAAGATGCAACTTTTCAGTGCGGGATGTTATCGTTAACTTTTTGTTTTCTACTCTTAAATAATTTTGATAACCAGGTTGGCTGGTTTTTTTTTTCTTATCGTCATTTTGTTAATGATTATTAACAAAACCGTACTATTGGCAGCTGTCTTTTTATCTGTTTTTTTTTTCGATTTTGTAGCCAAGATTTGTTACCAATAAATTTACACTCACAGCGTTCAGAACAAGTTTAGACCGTGTCGCGTGCGGTACGGCTACAAAGTTTAGTCTTGAAAAAAAGAAATACTTAAAAGTGTTTTACGATATAAAAAATAACTTAAGAAATAAAATAAAATTTTAAAATATAGTGTTTAAAATAAAAAAAAAAAATTTTATAAAAAAGGTGATTTTTTAAGGATAATGAAAAATTATATTAAAAATAAAACCTAAAAAGAGAAATAAGATAAGAAGTTCGTAATGATTATATGAAACTGCATAAAACCTTTTATATGTTTTGAGGTTTTAACTTCTAACTAATTTGCAAAAATTTAAAAAAACATAAAAATATTTTGATAAGAATTACTGTGACATTTTTTAATGTCAGGATGTAAAAAATATAAAATATCCTTTACTGAATCCTTTTGCTTTTACTTTAGAGTCCTTTTCGATATTATCCTAATGAACGAAATGACACCTAACTTTTGTTTAATTAATGTAATTTAAAATAACAAATGAATGGAAAATAGGGTTTTCTTGATCAATATTCTTCAACATCTGATATTTCTGATCAAAGGTTAATATTTTGAAAAAATCTTATTATCCTTCATGGTGTCACAGGAAAATGTTCTGAAAAGATTTTTTTATCCTAGATGCTTCCATATGAGATTTAGTTTACCCACAAGAACATTGTTCGGAAAAATTATGGATGGAAGGACATTTTGGTTGAAATATTTTCCTGATGACCGATCATTTCCTAGACATTGATGATCAAACAGAGAATATTTTGAAAAATTGTCCATTGACTTTTCGATATTTTCTAGTAGAGACCGATGGACATAACAAGATCGCCTCAGAAGTTTGCTAATACTTAGAATGTAAACTAAGAGGATGAACAATATGTCAGTGGGTAATACATTTTGATAAGGGATATATAATTATATAAAAATATCTATTTGAAATTTTTTGGTATATTTATAGTTTGCTATATCTTATCACAAAACTATGTCTGTGAATTTCTGCAGTTATTTTTAAAAATTTATGATTATTCTCATTATTAATAACTTGACAAAGTTCACGATTGCTCTTCATTTGACTTTGCGCTTACTCATTTCTCTATAAATAGTAGTAGACGGGGAATTGTGAGATAGGAAACGATAAGCATTGATTCCTTATGTAGTGCAATTAATGTAAATTTTTACAATAAAATAAATAAAGGTTTTTATGTTGTTTTTATTGTTCTCATTACTAAGAATATTTGAGTTTAATTTCCGCTTCATAAGTCCAACCAGATGTTATTTATTACTTTTTATTTAACGAACGGACGGACAGTTTGACAAAAATAGTGTGAAGGAATAATATACTGATGTTTGTAATATGCTGGCCTCCTTAATTTATATCAATAGGTTTAGAAATTTTTAAGTTGTTTAAGCCGTCTGTCCTTCTTGCTTCCGTGTAAAACTTTTAATCAAACTCTACGTCACAGTTGCGAGGATCAATCCATAATTGATAATAACTTTATTACAATGATCTTTATTTATTACTTATTATTTAAAGGGAGGATGGACTGGCAAACAATTTTATGGAGAGAGGGTGTTATACGTTTATACTGAAGTTTGAGGTGTTTAAGCTATGTCCGTCCGTCTGTCCTTCTTGTTCCCCCGGGGGCATGTTACCTTGGTAAAACATCCATCATCTGTAGGGACTATAAACTGGTGGTGATCAAATGTATCCTCGGCCTTGGAATGATTTGACATGGGGTCTAACCCTAGCACCATATAATCTGGCATTATAGGTGGCCGGTTGCCCACAGGACCTAGTCCTGGCCGGTCAATTGGTTGAAGTTTCTTCGGGATCCACGTGTTTAAACTACAGCCACATGGTTTATATGGTGCTCCATTAGACCCCATGTTGGTTTAAGGACTGATATATCCAAATGTCTGGATTTTCTCCCCGGTGCTGTTGTCATCTCAACACATGTCACTGGGTAATGTGACAAAGCAAATTATGCTGGATTCCTGTACCCGTTGAGTATATATTACTCTTCGCGTAGTAGGGCGCCAGTATAGGTTTGGGGAATTCTCAGGTTGATACTTGGTAGTTGCCTGTCATCGTTCGTAGATCATTCTTTATGATCTAAGAATGGAACTGATGTAATTGATGCACGACAGCATACTAGTACTGATTTAGTAGACCTTTTACCTCAGGGAAGTTCTCGGTGCTGTTGCCATCTCAACACGATGCATATTGTTTCATGCTACTTATGGTTGAGATCCACCACTCAACTTGTCGGGGCAATTATTGAGTTCGAATTGACTTTGGATATTCCTACATCCTTTGTCATAGTATCTGAAATACAGAGGGATCCTGTTTTATTGGCTGGGTATTGATGCTTTAGATCAGTGATTGCTTTTTCTTTGTTGGGGTTTGCATTGGGACTGATCACATGCTGCCTGTCATTCCGCAATGGGGCTACTATGGCAAGAGATTAGATAGCTTGAGTACTTCAGCAAAGTGCTTGTACATGGACCGGCACAGCCATGTACAAAAATTGCCACCTGAGTTCTTCATAGAAGGATTCAGGGGCGCCTGGTAGACCATCTCAAGTCTACCCAGTGGATGAAAAAGATCACCGTGAAATAAGGCCGTCAAGGCAGGTGTTCACGTTAAGCACTTAGACATCTTGTTCTTCATGTGTCCATGTTAAACTTCTAATCAAATTCTACGTTACAATTTCGAGGATCGGTCAATAATGGATGATAACTCTACTATAAAGCGTTTTTATTGGTGTTATTTTAAAAGAAAATAGTTGTGAATAGTGAAACATTATAGGACCTTGACCTATATTGTGACCTCCGGCTTAGGAAATCATCATCTATGATACAATCAAACTTCGCTATATCGTCTAATCATTTTCACTAAATTGCTTAATTCTAATCTTTAGTGTTATTTTAAGTGTAAATCTTATTCTACGTCAATTTCTTTGGAATGTTATTATATATAAGATAAGGTTTTGAAATTTAGAAGATTATAAATTTCACTATATTTATACCTAAATATAAAATTCAATAAATTTATAATAAATTAAATAGATTACAACTTCAATTCCAACTTAATTTAACGAATAGAGTAACGATGATCATAATTAAGAGGCAATTTAACAGTTAGGAGGCGTTTAATGGGTATTGTATTCTACCCTCTCTCGCCAAACTGATACCCCGCCTTCTTCCTTAGATATTGCATATATGCAACTATAAATATCAATATTTTATTTATAAATGTAGATAAAACAAATATTCCATTCATAAATCTCCTTTTAATCTTACATACAACCAAAAGCGTGTGACTTTTATGAGGGAGTTAAAACACTTTAACACTTTTGTGTTAAATAAAAATAGAAATTAATAAAAACAAATATTAAGTGCATTAATAAAACAAAAAATAATACCAAAAACAAATTTCATTCAAACTTTATACCATAATAAACGATTTTTATAAAAAAAAAATAAAATTTTAAATAATTACAATTATCTTTATAGTCAAAACATCATTAAGTATGTTAATTTTTATAATATAAAGAAAATAAGGGGGATTTTGTTTTATCAATAAAACAGAAAAAATGCGACGCATTTTCCTATTCCTGTACTAATCATGCTACTCGCATGAGTAGTAATTTATGATAACATTTGAAATTTCTTAGTATTATCGTATAATGGGGTTTCCATATTAAGCTGAAAATTTTGTATTGGTCATTTAATGTTTTATATTCTTTGCGGCACATGTGTACTACTATTGTATACATACATACTTACATTCAAATTTATGATGATGGCTAATCTTTAAACATTTTATTACGACTTGACGAACAACGTCATTGAACCGTGTGCACTTAATTTCGACCATTTTGTTATTTATTATCTTTTTACTACAAGTAGCTAAATACTTTAGATTATTTTGTAGTACATACTTATGTGTAAAAATGTTTATATTAGCGATGAATGAAATGTTAAATACATAAATAAATGTACTTAATAAATTTAGGTAAAGGATTAAATTTTCTATAGAAAAATTTACACAATATTGAGCGAAAGTCTACTCAATATTTGAGCAAATTTTCTATAGAAAAGTTTACTCAATATTTGAGCAAATTTTCTATAGAAAAGTTTACTCAATATTTGAGCAAATTTTCTATAGAAAAGTTTACTCAATATTTGAGCAAATTTTCTATAGAAAAGTTTACTCAATATTTGAGCAAATTTTCTATAGAAAAGTTTACTCAATATTTGAGCAAATTTTCTATAGAAAAGTTTACTCAATCTTTGAGCAACTTTTCTATAGAAAAGCTAACTCAATATTGAGCAAATTTTCTATAGAAAAGTTTACTCAAAATAGAGCAAAATTTCTATAGAAAAGTTTACTCGAAATAGAGCAAATTTTCTATATAAAAGTTTACTCAAAATAGAGCAAATTTTCTATAGAAAAGTTTACTCAAAATAGAGCAAATTTTCTATAGAAAAGTTTACTCAAAATAGAGCAAATTTTCTATAGAAAAGTTTACTCAAAATAGAGCAAATTTTCTATAGAAAAGTTTACCCAATATTGAGCAAATTTTCTATAGAAAAGTTTACTCAATATTGAGCAAATTTTCTATAGAAAAGTTTACTCAATATTGAGCAAATTTTCTATAGAAAAGTTTACTCAATATTGAGCAAATTTTCTATAGAAAAGTTTACTCAATATTGAGCAAATTTTCTATAGAAAAGTTTACTCAATATTGAGCAAATTTTCTATAGAAAAGTTTACTCAATATTGAGCAAATTTTCTATAGAAAAGTTTACTCAATATTGAGCAAATTTTCTATAAAAAAGTTTACTCAATATTGAGCAAATTTTCTATAGAAAAGTTTACTCAATATTGAGCAAATTTTCTATAGAAAAGTTTACACAATATTGAGCAAATTTTCTATAGAAAAGTTTACTCAAAATAGAGCAAACTTTTTATAGAAAAGTTTGCTCAATATAGAGTAAATTTTCTATAGAAAAGTTTACTCAATATAGAGTAAATTTTCTATAGAAAAGTTTACTCAATATAGAGTAAATTTTCTATAGAAAAGTTTACTCAATATAGAGTAAATTTTCTATAGAAAAGTTTACTCAAAATAGAGCAAATTTTCTATAGAAAAGTTTACTCAAAATAGAGCAAATTTTCTATAGAAAAGTTTACTCAATATTGAGCAAATTTTCTATAGAAAAGTTTACTCAATATTGAGCAAATTTTCTATAGAAAAGTTTACTCAATATTGAGCAAATTTTCTATAGAAAAGTTTACTCAATATTGAGCAAATTTTCTATAGAAAAGTTTACTCAATATTGAGCAAATTTTCTATAGAAAAGTTTACTCAATATTGAGCAAATTTTCTATAGAAAAGTTTACTCAATATTGAGCAAATTTTCTATAGAAAAGTTTACTCAATATTGAGCAAATTTTCTACAGAAAAGTTTACTCAATTTTGAGCAAATTTTCTATAGAAAAGTTTACACAATATTGAGCAAATTTTCTATAGAAAAGTTTACTCAATATTGAGCAAATTTTCTATAGAAAAGTTTACTCAAAATAGAGCAAATTTCTATAGAAAAGTTTACTCAAAATAGAGCAAATTTTTTATAGAAAAGTTTACTCAAAATAGAGCAAACTTTTTATAGAAAAGTTTGCTCAATATAGAGTAAATTTTTTATAGAAAAGTTTACTCAATATAGAGTAAATTTTCTATAGAAAAGTTTACTCAATATAGAGTAAATTTTCTATAGAAAAGTTTACTCAATATAGAGTAAATTTTCTATAGAAAAGTTTACTCAATATTGAGCAAATTTTCTATAGAAAAGTTTACTCAATATTGAGCAAATTTTCTATAGAAAAGTTTACTCAATATTGAGCAAATTTTCTATACAAAAGTTTACTCCATATTGAGCAAATTTTCTATAGAAAAGTTTACTCCATATTGAGCAAATTTTCTATGGAAAAGTTTACTCCATATAAGTTTTCTATAGAAAAGTTTACTCAATATTGAACAAATTATCTATAGAAAAGTTTACTTAATATTGAGCAAATTATCTATAGAAAAGTTTACTTAATATTGAACAAATTATCTATAGAAAAGTTTACTCAATATTGAGCAAATTATCTATAGAAAAGTTTACTCAATATTGAGCAAATTATCTATAGAAAAGTTTACTCAATATTGAGCAAATTATCTATAAGAAAGTTTACTCAATATTGAGCAAATTATCTATAGAAAAGTTTACTCAATATTGAGCAAATTATCTATAGAAAAGTTTACTCAATATTGAGCAAATTTCTATAGTAAAGTTTACTCAATATTGAGCAAATTTTTTTATAGAAAATCTTACTCAATATTGAGCAAATTTTCTACAGAAAATCTTCCTGAACTTTGAACAAATTTTTTATAGAAAAGTCTACCCAATATTGAAAATTTTACTCAATTTTGAGCAAATATTAAGCAAGAAAACTTACTCAATAAAAATTTCCTCAAATTTGGGAAAATTTTATATAGACAAATTTCCTCAAAAAGTGGACAAATTTAAATTTAGAGAAATTTTCTATAAACAATTTACTAAAATTTGCGAAAATTTTGAAGAATTTCCTCAATTTTCTGAAAATTGTTTACATAAGTCGTATTTGTACAAATTATTCATGTATTATTATACCCTCCACCACCATCAGTGGTGATAGAGGGTATATATAACTTTGTCATTCCGTGTGTAACACCAAGAAATATTCATCTGAGACCCAACAAAGTATATATATTCTGGGTCCTTATCAAATTCTGAGTCGATTTAGCTATGTCCGTCTGTCCGTCTGTCCGTCTGTCCGTCTGTCCGTCTGTCTGTGTAAAACACGCTCACGACAAAACGAAGCAATAGAGCTTAACCAAATTCACCCAAAATGTTCTTCATTTTCCTAAGTTGTTTGGTATTGCAAATGGGCAAAATCGGTTCACACCGGGAAAAGTTATGAATCAAAATTTAAAACAACCTCGGAAAAAAATAAGCATTTTTTACACATTCTGATGTAATTTTCTCGAAAACTATGCAAGATAATTCCATGGAATTCACCATACATTCGTTTCTGCACAAGGTCTTGATCCATGCTGAAAATTGCCAGAATCGGTCCACAATTTCATATACCTCCCATACAAAAGTACATATTCCCGGAAAATGGGTTTTTTGTTAATAACTTCCGCCACAATGTCGCTATCTTCACAAAATTTTACAAATTAAAATCCTATGTCAATAAAATTCTTTCAGAGGAAAAATTTTATGGATCGGTCCATAATTGGACATAGCTCCCATACAAGGTCCCCTCCCGAAAATCACTTAAACGCGCATAACTCATTACTAAATTAAGATATCCATATAAAATTTGGTATAAGTATTGCCCATATGCATAGAAATATTACTGTGAAAGTTTTTTCCGATCGGTCCATAATTGGTCATAGCTCCCATACAAGGTCCCCTCCCGAAAATCACTTAAACGCGCATAACTCAGTACTAAATTAAGATATCCATATAAAATTTGGTATAAGTATTGCCCATATGCACACAAATATTACTGTGAAATTTTTTTCCAATCGGTCCATAATTGGTCATAGCTCCCATACAAGGTCCCCTCCCGAAAATCACTTAAACGCGCTTAACTCATAACTAAATTAAGATATCCATATAAGGTTTGGTACAAGTATTACTCATATGCACAGAAATAATACTGTGAAAGTTTTTTCCGATCGGTCCATAATTGGACATAGCTCCCATACAAGGTCCCCTCCCGAAAATCACTTAAACGCGCTTAACTCATAACTAAATTAAGATATCCATATAAGGTTTTGTACAAGTATTATTCATATGCACAGAAATATTATTGTGAAAGTTTTTTCCGATCGGTCCATAATTGGACATAGCTCCCATACAAGGTCCCCTTCCGAAAATCACTTAAACGCGCATAACTCATTACTAAATTAAGATATCCATATAAAATTTTGTATAAGTATTGCCCATATGTATAGAAATATTACAGAAATTTTTTTTCCGATCGGTCCATAATTGGTCATAGCTCCCATACAAGGTCCCCTCCCGAAAATCACTCAAACGCGCATAACTCATTACTTAATTAAGATATCAATATAAAATTTGGCACAAGTATTACTCATATGCACAGAAATGTTACTGTGAAAATTTTTTTCGATCGGTCCATAATTGGTCATAGTTCCCATACAAGGTCCCCTCCCGAAAATCACTTAAACGCGCATAACTCATTACGTAATTAAGATACCCATATGGTACAAATATTACTCATATGCACAGAAATATTACAGATAATTTTTTTTCCGATCGGTCCATAAGTGGTCATAGCTCCATATAAGGTCCCCTCCCTAAAATCACTTAAACGCACATAACTCATTACTAAATTAAGATAACCATATAAAGTTTGGCAGAAATATTGCTCATATACAGAGAAATATTACTGTTAAATTGTTTTCCTATCGATCCATAATTGATCATAGCTCCTATACAAGGTCCCTTTCAGAAAAACACTTAAAGGCACATAACTCATTACCAAATAATGATATAAATAAGTACTATTTTTGTTCATAAATACTATTTTGTAATGCAAAAAGCACTTAATGCTATTTCAAAAATTTTTCACGATCGGTCTATATTTGTTCATATCTCTCATACTAGGTCCTGCCCCTAAAAGCGCTTTAACCGTATTTAACTATTTGCATTATCAATTTTTGTAGAACAAAATTATATATATGTATGTATTTTGAAAATCCTTAAATCTTTCACACACATGCATACATGCAAGCAAATACGAGATATCGCTAAAGCATATCTTAGGGCGCTATAAAAATTTAAATGAAAGTGGCGTTTCTAATGTTCAATAAATCTTGGAATTGTAGTAGATTTAAGCTGTTTAAATCTTAGGATTTTTCTATTTAAGACATGAGAAAACTTATTTCTACAAATATTTTATTAATTAGAAATGTATTAATACAAAAGTTGCTGGTGGAGGGTATTTAAGATTCGGCTCAGCCGAATATAGCACTCTAACTTGTTTTTATCTTTTCAGTTCTAACAGCAAAAGTTTTAAACAATAATGGTGAATTTTTGGAATGCTTTAACACGCCGTAAAACTGATGATGTTATTGAAACGGAATCAAAATTAGCCAGAGTACTCAATGTTTTCGATTTAACAGCTTTGGGTGTAGGCAGTACATTAGGTCTGGGTGTTTATGTTTTGGCCGGTTCGGTGGCGTATAATATTGCTGGTCCAGCAGTGACACTATCATTTTTGATAGCAGCAGTAGCCTCAGCATTTGCTGGTATTTGTTATGCTGAATTTGCTGCCAGAGTACCTAAAGCCGGCAGTGCTTATGTTTATAGTTATGTGACAATAGGAGAATTTGTGGCCTTTACTATCGGCTGGAATATGATATTGGAATATGTGATAGGTGAGTTTAAAGATACATATATTTTTATTATTTTATTAATAATTTGTTTTAAAAAATTTAGGTACCGCCTCGGTGGCTAGAGGTTTTAGTGGTTATTTCGATTCTTTGATTGATAGAAATATGTCAAAAGCTTTAGCGGAAGCAGTACCCATTAATGTTGGTTTCTTAGGAGACTATCCTGATTTCTTGGCTTTTGGTTTGATATTGATTTTGACGGGTTTACTAGCATTTGGTGTTAAGGAATCAAGTTTTCTTAATAACATATTTACCACGGTTAATATGTTGACCATTTTAATTGTGATTATAGCTGGAAGTATTTATGGTAAGTAATTTTTTTCTTTTGGCAAACTTATTTAAAATTAAGTTCTCAATATTTTCTTTTTTAGCTGATAGTTCCAACTGGTCCATACCCCAGGATAAAGTACCAGAAGGCTTTGGTACTGGTGGCTTTATGCCTTTTGGTGTGGCTGGTGTTATGGCGGGAGCTGCTAAGTGCTTTTTTGGTTTTGTGGGCTTTGATGGTATTGCCACTACCGGCGAAGAAGCCATCAATCCCAAACGCAACATCCCCTTGGCCATTATTATTTCCTTGATAATTGTTTTCTTGGCTTACTTTGGTGTTTCTACTGTTTTAACTTTGATGGTGCCCTATTTTGAACAAGATCGTAATGCTCCCTTCCCGGCTGCCTTTGATGCTGTTGGTTTAATCTCTGTTAAATGGATTGTTACTGGTGGTGCTATTTTTGCCTTGTGTACCTGTTTGCTGGGTGCCATGTTCCCCTTGCCTCGTGTTTTGTATGCCATGGGTAGTGATGGCATTCTATTCAAGAAGTTATCCAATGTCAATGATTACACTAAAACTCCTTTAATAGCCACTATTATATCTGGCTTGTTTGCTGCTACCATGGCCTTGATATTCGATTTGGATCAATTGATTGATATGATGTCTATTGGTACTCTCCTGGCTTATAGTATTGTGGCCATTTGTGTACTGGTTTTACGTTATGAGGATGAGGGCATGACAACACAAGTAACTCTTAACTGTCCCACTATTATTAAACAGCTTTTCAATGGCAACTCCTTTAGAGAACCCAATTGTTTGAGTTCTGCTATAACAAAAATTGGTGTAGTGGTCTTTGGTTTGATTTGTATTTTATGGTGCAGTTTGGATAAACTTTATACATTTGGTTCCACCAATAGTATAATTGCCCTAAGCATTTTAGGCGTAGTATTAATAGTGATTGTAATAATAATTGGCTGTCAACCAGTATCCATGGTAGAGTTGACATTTAAAGTGCCTCTAGTACCACTGATACCTTGCTTGAGTGTTTTTGCCAATCTCTATCTGATGTTCCAATTGGACATTAATACTTGGATCAGATTCCTCATATGGCTGGCCATTGGTTATGTCATTTATTTTGTTTATGGCATAAGACACTCTACACAGATCACTAGAAATAAAAATCATGCTGAGGCTGCCAAGAAAGTGCAATTTACAAATATGGCCTTCGAACCCGATTGGAAGTTAGAGAATGGTAAAGTTGAAAGTGCAAAATTATGAAAAGTTTAAAGCACTAAATTTGATACAATATGAGCTATGTCTAGGAAGGTTTAATTATTTGCCTTTTTTGGGCAAAAATACTCCTATTTTCTCAGTTATAAACATGTACATAGAATTTAATTAATTAAGTTTTTTGCATTAAGTTAAGCTTAAGTTAAACTTAGTTTTGATAATGTTTTATACAAGAAAATTTATATGGTATTAAACCTTTAAGTATTGAGATTTAAGAAAAGTGGCTAAAGAAATCATAGAAATATTGGCACAAATTTGAAAAGAGCCAGTAGAAATGTTGCCTAAACTTGCAACAATTTCCTATAAAAATATGTGTTTAATATTGTGCAAACTTTCTTTTAAAATATTTGCTCAAATTTATGAAAATCTTCTATAAAAATGTTCTTTCAAATTAGAGAAAATGTTCTATAGAGATGTTCTTCCAAATTTGTGCAAATCCATAGAAAGGTTCTGTCAAATTTGAGCAAATTTTCTATAGAAATATTCTTATAAATTTGAGCAAATTTTCTACTGAAATGTTCTCTCAAATTTGAACAGATCTTTTATAGAAACTTTCTCTCAAATTTGAGCAAATTTTCTATAGAAATGTTCTCTCAAATTTGAGCATATTTACTATAAAAATGTTCTTCCAAATTTGAGCAAATTTTCAATAGAAATGTTCTTTCAAATTTAAAAAAAAATTTCTTTAAAAATATTCTCTCAAATTTAGGCAAATTTTTTATTGAAATGTTCTCCCAAATTTGAGCAAATTTTCTATAGAAAATGTTCTCTCAAATTTGAGGAAATTTTCTATAGAAAAGTTTTCTCAAATTTGAGCAAATTTTCTATAGAAAATGTTCTCTCAAAGTTGAGGAAATTTTCTATAGAAATCTTTTCTCAAATTTGAGAAAATTTTCTATAGAAATGTTTTCTCAATTTTGAGCAAAGGTTTATAGAAATGTTCTCTCAAATTTGAGCAAATCTTTTACAGAAATGTTCTTTCAAATTTGGGCAAATTTTCTATAGATATGTTCTCAAAAATATGAGTAAATTCTCTATAGAAACGTTCTCTCAAATTAGAGCAAATTTTCTATAGAAATGTTCTCTCTAAAAAATTTGCCTAAATTTGCGCAAGCCTACTTTTGTTATCACTATTTTTATATTTTTAAGTATTTTAATTTGAAGCCCAACTAGAATCCCATAATAGCGAATAAAATAATTGTGATATTTGTTAAATATTTCTAATTTTGATATATTGTTATATCACACTAAATAAAGTAGTTGTATTAGTTAAAAAGGAAAAAGACATTTTGAAATTTAATAAATTAGAAAAAAATATTTTTTTATATAAAATGCACATAATACTTTTCTAATTTTAATTATAAATAATAAAAAAGCTATAATTAAAAAATATAAAATTCTAATTTAATTATAACCCAAGGCAAGTATTAGAAATTCTTAATCAATGACTTGTGTGATTTTCAAACATGTTAATAAATTAAATTTATGCAAAAAAATTCCCTTTCGTTTAGTTCTCATCCCTTTTTGTGTCACTTTAATTAAACTTAAAATAAGTTAATTTATATACTAAAAATGTTTTTTTTTTTCAACTTGCATATTTACTCGTTATTCCGTTGATCTTAGTCTCTTGTATTATTTAAATTTTTATTTTCTTAATTTAACTGCTACTGCTTTAAGCCCCTCATGTCAATTTAATTTGCATAACATTTGGTTTTTGGTTTTTATGTGTATTTGAAGAAGCAGCAAAAATAGACAGTATAAGGAAAAAAACAACAATTCTAAGTTTTAAAACATACTATACTTCTCGTTGTAAAATATACTAAATACATACTTACTTTATACTGTATATTTGTGTAGATACTTTTTACTTTCAGTTTAAAATACACATTTTCTATTAACTCTAATTTTTTTGTGCGCTTGGGTTTTTTATCCAATGTTTTCCGTACTAGTTTCTTACATCTCTATAACAATTTATATCCATTATTATCATTGCATGCTTACTTCTTCGGTTCCTTCGGGTATTTTGTTATAATATAAATAACACTGTTCTATAGTAAGCAGGAACTGAATTTTATACCCTACACCACTTTAGTGGGGAGGGTATATTGGATTTGTGCTGATGTTTGTAACATACAAAAATATTCGTCCTAGACCCACCTTAAAGTATACCAATCGGCTTAGAATCGTTTTCTGAGTCGATTAAGCTATGTCCGTCCGTCCGTCCGTCCGTCCGTCTGGCTGGCTGGCTGTCCATGTAAACCTTGTGCGCAAGGTACAGGTCGCAATTTTCAAGATAATTGGATGAAATTTGGCACGCACGTTTTATTTGACCTAAGGACGAAGCCTATTGAAAATGGTTAAAATCGGTCCATTATTTCACCTAGCCCCCATAGAACAGAACCCCCCGAAAAGGGCTTCTGAGCTCATAATTATGTTAAATATACAGATATATCGGTAAAATACGGCACAACTAAGTTTTATAGAAGTCTTGATGACCCTGCCAAATTTCATAAAGATCGGGCCACATTTGACCCTAGCTCCCATACAAAGTCCCCTTCAGAAAATTACTTGAATGTCCCAAATTAGCTTATAAACACAAATATCGCGATGAAATTCAGCACAATAAAATATTATGACAATATAAATATATTCACAAAATTTTATCGGGCTTGGTCCATATTTGCCCCTAGCCCCCATATAAAGCCTCTTTCAGAAAATTAGTTTTTCATCCATAAATTGCTTAAATGTATCGGAACAAGGGAATATTGAAGATAAATGTTTTATTATGAAAAATAAATCACATTTAATATTCATAACTGGTGTAGGGTATCATATGGTCGGCGCCGCCCGACTATAATTTCTTACTTGTTTAAATTAATTGTTTGTCTGTAACCATAGATTAGTTTTTCTGGTTGATTGATCTTGTGCAGGCAAATGGGTAAACAGATAATTAGAGGCGACTAGATAGAACTACAGATATATAGACAAATATGGAGGCTGATTTACAAATTTTCTACAGAAAAGTTTTGCCAAATTTGGACAAATTTTCTATAGAAAAGTTTTGCCAAATTTGGACAAATTTTCTATAGAAAAGTTTTGCCAAATTTGGACAAATTTTCTATAGAAAAGTTTTGCAAATTTGGACAAATTTTCTATAGAAAAGTTTTGCCAAATTTGGACAAATTTTCTATAGAAAAGTTTTGCCAAATTTGGACAAATTTTCTATAGAAAATTTTTGCCAAATTTTTACAATTTGTTATTGAAAGGTTTCCCCAATTTGGAAAAATTTCCTATAGACAAGTTTCGCCAAATTTGGTCAAATTTTCTATAGAAAAGTTTTGCCAAATTTAGTGAAATTTTCTATAGACTAAGCTATAGACTAGACTATAGACTAGACTATAGACTAGACTATAGACTAGACTATAGACTAGACTATAGACTAGACTATAGACTAGATTATAGACTAGACTAGACATAGACTAGACTATAGACTAGACTATAGACTAGACTATAGACTAGACTATAGACTAGACTATAGACTAGACTATAGACTAGACTATAGACTAGACTATAGACTAGACTATAGACTAGACTATAGACTAGACTATAGACTAGACTATAGACTAGACTATAGACTAGACTATAGACTAGACTATAGACTAGACTAGAAAAGTTTTGCAAATTTGGACAAATTTTCTATAGAAAAGTTTTGCCAAATTTGGACAAATTTTCTATAGAAAAGTTTTGCCAAATTTGGACAAATTTTCTATAGAAAATTTTTGCCAAATTTGTTATTGAAAGGTTTCCCCAATTTGGAAAAATTTTCTATAGACAAGTTTAGCCAAATTTGGTCAAATTTTCTATAGAAAAGTTTTGCCAAATTTAGTGAAATTTTCTATAGACTAAGCTATAGACTAGACTATAGACTAGACTATAGACTAGACTATAGACTAGACTATAGACTAGACTATAGACTAGACTATAGACTAGACTATAGACTAGACTATAGACTAGACTATAGACTAGACTATAGACTAGACTATAGACTAGACTATAGACTAGACTACTAGACTAGACATAGACGAGACTATAGACTAACTATAGACTAGACTATAGACTAGACTATAGACTAGACTATAGACTAGACTAGACTAGAGACTAGACTAAGACTACTATAGACTAGACTAGACTAGACTATAGACAGACTATAGACTAGACTATAGGACTAGACTATAGACTAGACTATAGACTAGACTATAGACTAGACTATAGACTAGACTATAGACTAACTATAGACTAGACTATAGACTAGACTATAGACTAGACTATAGACTAGACTATAGACTAGACTATAGACTGACTATAGACTAGACTATAAGACTAGACTATAGACTAGACTATAGACTATGACTAGAGACTAGACTATAGACTAGACTATAGACTAGACTATAGACTATACTATAGACTAGACTAGAGACTAGACTATAGACTAGACTATAGACTAGACTATAGACTAGACTATAGACTAGACTATAGACTAGACTATAGACTAGACTATAGACTAGACTATAGACTAGACTATAGACTAGACTATAGACTAGACTATAGACTAGACTATAGACGACTATAGACGAGACTATAGACTAGACTATAGACAGCTTAGCTAGACTATAGACATAGACTATAGACTAGACTATAGACTAGACTATAGACTAGACTATAGACTAGACTATAGACTAGACTATAGACTAGACTATAGACTAGACTATAGACTAGACTATAGACTAGACTATAGACTAGACTATAGACTAGACTATAGACTAGACTATAGACTAGACTATAGACTAGACTATAGACTAGACTATAGACTAGACTATAGACTAGACTATAGACTAGACTATAGACTAGACTATAGACTAGACTATAGACTAGACTATAGACTAGACTATAGACTAGACTATAGACTAGACTATAGACTAGACTATAGACTAGACTTTAGACTAGACTATGACTAGACTATAGACGACTATAGACTAGACTATAGACTAGACTATAGACTAGACTATAGACTAGACTATAGACTAGACTATAGACTATAGACTAGACTATAGACTAGACTATAGACTAGACTATAGACTAGACTATAGACTAGACTATAGACTAGACTATAGACTAGACTATAGACTAGACTATAGACTAGACTATAGACTAGACTATAGACTAGACTATAGACTAGACTATAGACTAGACTATAGACTAGACTATAGACTAGACTATAGACTAGACTATAGACTAGACTATAGACTAGACTATAGACTAGACTATAGACTAGACTATAGACTAGACTATAGACTAGACTATAGACTAGACTATAGACTAGACTATAGACTAGACTATAGACTAGACTATAGACTAGACTATAGACTAGACTATAGACTAGACTATAGACTAGACTATAGACTAGACTATAGACTAGACTATAGACTAGACTATAGACTAGACTATAGACTAGACTATAGACTAGACTATAGACTAGACTATAGACTAGACTATAGACTAGACTATAGACTAGACTATAGACTAGACTATAGACTAGACTATAGACTAGACTATAGACTAGACTATAGACTAGACTATAGACTAGACTATAGACTAGACTATAGACTAGACTATAGACTAGACTATAGACTAGACTATAGACTAGACTATAGACTAGACTATAGACTAGACTATAGACTAGACTATAGACTAGACTATAGACTAGACTATAGACTAGACTATAGACTAGACTATAGACTAGACTATAGACTAGACTATAGACTAGACTATAGACTAGACTATAGACTAGACTATAGACTAGACTATAGACTAGACTATAGACTAGACTATAGACTAGACTATAGACTAGACTATAGACTAGACTATAGACTAGACTATAGACTAGACTATAGACTAGACTATAGACTAGACTATAGACTAGACTATAGACTAGACTATAGACTAGACTATAGACTAGACTATAGACTAGACTATAGACTAGACTATAGACTAGACTATAGACTAGACTATAGACTAGACTATAGACTAGACTATAGACTAGACTATAGACTAGACTATAGACTAGACTATAGACTAGACTTTAGACTAGACTATAGACTAGACTATAGACTAGACTATAGACTAGACTTAGACTAGACTATAGACTAGACCTATAGACTAGACTATAGACTAGACTATAGACAGACTATAGACTAGACTATAGACTAGACTATAGACT